GTGAACTACCTCAGCATTTGAGTTCTGTGCTTGAGCTTTTGTGCACATTCTTAATGCTCACATGGGACACCCCTCTTCTTTGCCTACCTGGATCCTGCCTGCCTCCAAGATTTATTCCCATCTCTTCTCCAGAGCCTGCCTATATTATTTTCAACCACACGGGCATGTGTCTTACTTAATTCAATGTCCAAAGTATGTGGCACCATTATGCAACTTAGGGGTTAAAAGGGGGAGTTTGAGGCCAGGCAGACCTGGGTTTGAATCATGACATGGCCACTTACCAACTGCATGTGTAATTTGGGGCAAGTAACTTAACCTCCTTGGGCCTCAGTATCCTCATCTATAAAATGGCGATAACAATAGTACCCATTTTATAGTAGGATTAGTGTGAAGATGAAATGGAACAGCCCATGAAAGCAATTAGAACAGCTCCTGGCATAACATAAGGGCACACATACGGTTAGCTATGATTATGGTGGCTGCTCAGTTAAGAAACTTATAGATGAAGAACTTTAGTTTTCTGTCTTTAGAGAAATGTGCACTGTCTTCAACCACTCATATGCCCTACAATGTTAAGTCTAGAACTGGAAATCTAGCAATTTATTCAAGCACATATATTGAGTATAACACCGTAGAATAAATGAAAAGTCAGAAGTTGCTCCAGCTTTCTGAGTACCCGCTCTTGGAAAGGAGAGTGTACAGAAGTAGAATACTATACGACAGTATGTAACACATGTGGTAAGAGTGCCACAGGAGGAGAGATGTCAGGACGGCTGAGGTGATCAGGGTGTCTTCAAGGAGAAAGAACTAAGTTGACCAAGAATCAATGACTGTTTAAAATCTGCTAAGAATACCGTCCCTCTCCATGAGAAGGGATGAGGAACAAATGCTCCCTGTCATCCCGCAGCTCAACTGAAGCCAAGGGCTGCACATCTTCTGCCTTCCAGGCTGGGAGGTGGAAGACTTCCCTGGCTCACAACCACAGCCCCGGGAGATTATAGCAGCTTTGGCACAAACCTTGGCTAGGTAGTTGGGCAGCCCACTCGCCTTGCTGGATAAAAGAAGACAGGGGCTTCGTCAGCCCGTGGGCAATCTCTCACCACCCTGTCACTCTCCCTGACAACCCCAGCTGTTTTTCCCAGCAGCCGGACCTACCCGGGATTCCAGAACTCTGCAGGATGGATCTGGCCCAGGGTCTGCCACCCTCAAAGTCACATCTCTTTACCTGAGATCCCCTGTCTGTCCTTCCATCTCTCTGTATGACCTGCTCAAACCCCTAGCTCACATCACTCTCTTATGCTGGGTACCACATGGGCCTGGGACCCAGAAGTCCATCAAGCATGTGGCATTTAGCAGAGGGTGTCCCTGGGGTTGCCTGGACTCTGTGGGCTCTTGGCAGTGGGGAAGCAGTGGGAGACCCAGCAGAGTGTCTGGCACATGGCAGGTACCAGACTCCGATGAACGAACCACCCAAGGTCGCAGCTGGCTGGGGCAGAACCAGAACTGAGCCCTCACCTCTTCTTTCCTGGGCCCTGCACACATGCTCAGCCTTTCACAAATGCTGTTCTCCTAACAGCCTCATTTTTTTGCAGGCAGCTGATAAACAGATGCCACAGAGGGGGCCTCCTAAGCATGTCCCAGAAACGTGGAAGAAGGAAAAAACCGAACAATCAGTACACTTCAAAGAAGACTTCCTCATATTGTCTGCCTGACCTTTTCCCACTACAAGGCCCATCTGAGTGGAAGTCAAGCATTATTACACGGTAGGAACTGTAGAAGGCAGTTCAGATATGCAGTCTGAGAGTCAGACTGAAAATAAATTATTTCACAGAAAGAAATTATACTAGGACCAAAAAGGAAATTATGGGAAGGAAAGATGGGAATAAAGTGCCTAAAAAATTTAAAAACACACCTCTGGCCAGAGGGATTAGCATGTGTGAAGGCCTAGGGTAATGCAAGAAGCTGCAGAGGTAAGCAAGAGTCTGTTTTAAAGGCTTAGGGCAGGATTCCAGGCAAGAAATGAGGAGCAACTGAAACAGGTGACAGCAGAAGGAAGAGGAAAGGGCTACCAATGTGAGACACTTTCACATCAACTACAAGGGCTTTGACAATGATTAGACACTGGAGAATAAGGGAGAAGGAAGAATCAAGGGTTCTGCTGTCCAATATAGCAGCCACCTGTGGGTATTTGAAATGAATTAAACAAAATAAAATTACAAATTCAATTCCTCAATCACACTAGACACATTTCAGGCACTCAGTAGCCACATATGTAGCTACCATGTTGGACAATGCAGATTACAGAACATCTCCATCATCACAGAAGGTTCTACTGGATAGCGTTTGTCTAGAGTGACTCTCAGGCTTCTAAGTGTGGGACATGAGGTCTGGTGGGTGGACAGGAATCAGGAAATGGTTAAACCCTTTACTATAACAGGGACCAAATAAAGAGGAACCATTTTGTGGGGGTTGGGGGCATGAAGAGTCTGGTCTTGGACATGGTGAAAGTAAGGTGGGCAATGAAGCTTAGCAGGCATGTAAAAGTACTGGTCCAGGGCCGGCCCGGTGGCGCACTGCTGCAGTGCGCCGCTTGGGAAGTGTGGCGGCGCTCCCGCCGAGGGTTCGGATCCCACATACAGACCGGCCGCTCACTGGCTGAGCGAGGTGCGGGAGCAACGCCGAGGGTTGCGATCCGTTGCCGGTCACGAAAAAAGACAAAAAGGAAAAAAAAAAGTACTGGTCTGGAATTTGGTAGAAACCCAAAGATTGACAAAGATAATTAAGAGTCATTATTACATGGCTTTGGGTGAGGTCAGCTATGTGAGCATGGAGAGAATTGGAAGAAAGAATCCCAAGGTAGTGGTAGAGGCAGAAGTTGG